GCTGTATAACATCTTTCAATTTGCTAGCTCAAAGAAGGATATTCAGCGGGGTTGAAAAGTTCTCTTAATACTTGCTAATATTGAGTCAAATTTATCATCACACAACTTCTAAGCACTTTTCTGTTGACTGAAATGCTGTGTGCTGACTGGAAATGAGCTAGTTTGAACTTGCCAACGCATTCCTTAGATTTAGAAAAAAATATACACCTTTTAGAATAAAAGGAAGCTGAACTGTTAGAAGATAGATACAGATGCTAAGACATCATAAATTTAAAGTTTCTCTTTTTCCATTTGCAATGACCTTTTCCACAAATGCTCAATAAACCTAGAAGATGAAATAGTTATTTAAGAAAAAGTCACCGTAACTGTTAATGTGAATACAGCACGTGATATTGAGTTTCCCCATAACTTCTGAAATGTGTCTGTAGCAGCATCTGCAACAGATGTGCCCCGTCAGCACTGTCAGCCCATCAAGCTTTCCCGGTTTGTCCTGGTTTCTCATAGAATCCATTCTAAGAAAAAGATCTTCTGCTGGCAATCACTGTCAACAGCAGGTCCCTCCTGACCCTATTCTCATTAACTAGAATTGAAAGAGTTTAATTTCCAGCACAGAAAGACAATAATTTCCAGAAATGTTGCAAAAAAAAATGATAGATCACATCTCAGCATTTCTTTATACCCTGTATGCAGCAATTTTTCAAATGCTTTGTCCACAAGCAGTAAAAAAAAAAGTGGTTGATGTGGCAGATGGGAATATCGCTATTAACAGCCTCTGTCAAAAACAGATCGTTTTAATAACTTACAGAAAGTTCACGTTGCTGTCCCCAGCTGTATCAGTTCTTTCCCATCACTGCAGTCACAACAATAATCCTATCGTAAAAGTTACTTAATTGGTCATTCTGGAGAGTCTTAAAATTTCACCCAAAGCACCTCACGCTAGCTACTGTCAGTAATAAAAATGTATAATTAAATTGAATTCTTACACTGCTAATACTACCAGCATCATTTCAACAATAATGCAGTGGGACATTCACGTGCCTTTGCAAACACAACGAACAGCACATTAATGAAAACAAGCCACTGGTTCTTACTTGTACGTCTAAAGGTCCTTTGTAATGGTTTGTTGATTTAGCCAACAGTCCTTTTGTTAAAATAGCAGATGTCAGTCAAATGCCTCAAAGGCGCCAATGAAGGAAACAATAAATAGCCAGAGCAGCTGAATTACAGAATCACAGAATCACAGAATGGTAGGGGTTGGAAGGGACCTCTGTGGGTCATCTAGTCCAACCCCCCTGCCGAAGCACCTACAGCAGGCTGCACAGGACCTTGTCCAGGCGGGGCTTGAATATCTCCAGAGAAGGAGACTCCACAACCTCCCTGGGCAGCCTGTTCCAGTGCTCCGTCACCCTCAGAGAGAAGAAGTTCCTCCTCATGTTCAGACGGAACTTCCTGTGCCTCAGGAATTATGCTTGGTGTGTTATCTCTGTGCTGTATCTTAGGTGTTCAGACATTTGATGAAACAAAAAGATCACCACATTACAGCACCCAGACAAAACAGGGAAAAAGAAATTTAAACTACTCAAGTCTAATACTATAACACGAGCATCGTGGTTTCACCCCAGCCGGCAACTAAGCACCACATAGCCGCTCACTCACTCCCACACCCCAGTGGGATGGGGGGAGAACTGGAAGGGTAAAAGTGAGAAAGAAACTCCTGGGTTGAGATAAAACCAGTTTAATAATTAAGAAGAAATAATAATAACTAAAAAAAATTAAGGAAAAGAGAAAAAAGTATCAAAGAGAGAGGAAAATAAAACCCAAGACAGACAAGTGAAGCAAATGATAACAATCGCTTACCACCAACCGACGGATGCCCAGCCAGTCCCAAAGCAGTGCCCTCCCCCCACCTTTTTATTGCTGAGCATGACCCCATATGGCACAGAATTTCCCTCTGGTCAGCTGGGGTCAGGTGTCCCGGCTGTGTCCCCTCCCAACTTCTCGTGCACCCCCAGCCTGCTCGCTGGCAGGGCAGTCTGAGGGGCAGAAAAGGCCTTGACACTGCTCAGCAGTAACTAAAACGTGTCTTACCAACACTGTTTTCAGCACAAATCCAAAACATAGCCCCATACTCACTGCTAGGAAGAAAATCAACTCTATCCCAGCCAAAGCCAGTACACGAGTAAGGGTCTGCACCTATACACAATGCAGAGCCATCTCTAAACGTTGGCCACCTGTGTGTCCCAACTCAAATTTGGTGCTTTAGCAGGTGAGTTATTAGCATACTAATGAGATATCTGAAACAATCAAACAACAATGGAAACATTACAATAGTTTTCTTAATTTCCTCTTCAGCCTTGCATATCTTTTTTTCTTTCATGCATATTCTAGCCTGATTTTACACAGGGTGTCCCACTTGCCAGTGCGAGTACTAGAAGCGTGTTACATTAAGTCATTTGGAAGCAGCGAGGTGCTTTTTCTTTTTTTAACACTGCATGAAAACATTGTAAAGAGAGGTGAATGGAAGAACCCTTAATACCTTACTACTGTTGTGAGGCCACATAACCCAATTATGCATGTGCTCACATGCTAACAACCCAGCTATCTCAGGGAAATCGTAGATTGTAGAAATAGTGTTTTAAAAAATACTTAGAAAATTGTGCTCTGTAGCTGTTATCTTCAAGAGACACATGATGCAATGGTCTTTAAAACTTTTCATATATAACAATGATGAAAATAATATTACTTGCATAAGGTTTAATTGCATTGAGAAGCATCTGTTTCAAGGACAAGAAAACAAAACTCAAATACTTTATTGTTTTGTATCATTTCAGAGGCTTAAGAAACTAGAAAATTTTGATCCACACAATCATACAAGCATTTCATAGAAGCCTATGTTTTTACTATGTATTTATGCTACAAAAAATTGCTTAATTGTATAAAAATCTACTTTTCAGTTAAAGCAGCAGACTATTTCACATTTTCCTTTCCCAAATTATCATGCAGCTAAACAGACTGTTGCACTGTCCTCTTAGTTCCTGCAACAGCACAGCTCCCCAGTGCAATTTGCATAAACAGATTTTAAATCCCTTGTAAAAATAGTTCCTCCTGGAATTTAATGTAGGAATTTCCACAGGAAATTCACACTGAAATTTCAGTTACGTCACTTTAATTACTAAATTGACTTTTCTACACACCACCTTAAAAATACCAGCCAACCGTCTTCTGGTGAGATTCAGGGAATGGCAATACAAGAAGTCCCAGCTACTGGACTCCCAAAAGCTGAGGACCAAGAAGTTCTAATGAAAAAGCCAAGCAGCTGTCCTCACAGTCAAGTTTCTGTACTTCTTTTTTAGGCCCTGGCCATAGCCACAGTCTGAGGGAATTCAGTTAAGATTCCAGCTGTGTGATCACAAAATGAGTGAAATATTTGTAAAACTAGTTATCGAATTTGTTCAGGCTTTCCACCGTAAGGCCTGTAGGAAGAATATAGAAAACAACATGGAGAACATAACGCCGTCCTAAAAAGTTACCTACCTGGATTGCTTCTACTAGTGCAAAACCCACCCACAGATGAAAAGATCGCAGAGAGAACTGAAATGGGAGGCAATTAGAAAGGAATTCTCCATTACTGATTTGTTCCGAAGAAGTCCTTTATCAACTGAGCTTGAAACAAAGCCTGTTGAGCTTCACAGCACAGTATTAGGCCCATCTCCATGCTCCCTCTAGAGCTAAAAAGTTTGAAGTTTGGTGTGAAGTTACCATGTTGTGAACATGGTAAGAAAAAGGATGATAGGATTAATTATGTCACTGTACATCTGATTGTGAAGGAGCCTCTAAAGCAGTCTTCTGTTTTGCCCTGTAGATTCATCCATGTAATAAATAAATAGGGAGACATGAGTAAATAGAATTCCTATTCTAGATGCCACTTTTATCATTTTATTGAGGACTGAATACTTTCAGAACAGCACACATAAGAATTGTGAGGAAATAAAATAGTAATTACGCAACTTAGCACTTTTCAATCTTGCCTATAGTATAAACACTGTATTGATTTAACTCAATCACTTTATTTAAACTGATGCAATTTGTGCATGGACAGAGTAGGTGGTTCAGTAGGAAGTCACTGCAATTATTTAATATGAGGCATATCTTAATTTTCCTCCACTGCAGGCTATTTGGTTTCACAAAGCACAATGTTTAAGTCTCACCCCTAGTTCCTATACTATCTCATATAAAAAACACCTCCTACTTTTTTCTTTTAAGTTTTTAAAATACCTATATAATCTATTTATTTTACACACAGTCCTACAAATTTTTGTCCTTCAGTAAAAGAAATGAATCACATAGATTTTTTTTTTTTTAAAGGAAAAAAGTTAATGATTTTAAAAAGACTGAAAATAACCTCTGAGCTGCATTACACATTGTCCTCGTTTGGGCTGGGAGAGAGTTAATTTTCACAAGAGGCTGGGAGGGGACACAGCCAGGACAGCTGACCCAAACTAGCCCAAGGGATATTCCGTACCATATGACGTCATGCTCAGTATACAACGGGGGAAGCTGGCCAGGGGTCAGGGATCGCTGCTCGGGAACAGGCTGGGCATTGGGTTTTGGGTGGTGAGCAATTGCATTGTACATCACACGCTTTGTATATTCTTTTATTAGTATTACTGTTATTATTTATTTTCTCTTCCTTTGCTGTCCTGTTAAACTGTCTTTATCCCAACCCATGAGTTTTACCTTTTTCTTCCAATTCTGCTCCTAATCCCACTGGAGGGGAGGAGTGAGTGAGTGGCCATGTGGTACTTAGTTGCCAGCTGGGGCTAAACCACGACACACATATTTCAGTAAATCATTGTTTTAACTCCTCAGCATGTGGCAGCATGAAGTTATTTACAATGTCATATTCATTCTGTACTGTATTAAGTAATTTGTTCTTAAGTTTGCAATAAAAAACCCTACTATTAGATAATTATACCAGATGGAAGAGTTAATAAGAAAAATCAGGCTGTCTGTTTATTCCAGTTCTTCAGGATCTCTTCAGCTGCATCTAGAGTGCTGTCTTTCTGCAAAACAAGGAATATCACTATTACTGCAAGTACAGAGTTCTTGAAAAGAGAGTAGCAGTCATGATTATATCATCCCAAATCAATATTCAGCAGTTTCAGGTGTATCTTGTAAATACCTGTCAGTCAGTTTTTCATTAACAGTTACAGCTACAAATCTAGACTACACAAAGAATTCCCTGCAAATATTTATTAGGTATATTTAAAAGATAACATATATTTAAAAGATAACATATTTTGTCAGCATTCATACTATTAAATTTAATGAAAGCAATACTTCTTATATAAATGCCTGACATTTATGCAGTGATGTACTTGGCAGCTCTATATTGGAGACATGCTACCATAGTTTCCTAATACTCATATGTACAGCTGGGATTTTTAAATCTCCATGCAACCAAGTTATGTTGTGAACTACTTAAACATAATCCCTCTAAATATGGGTAATGTATCCACTGGCCATTTGTGTGGCTTGGCTACAACCTGGTGAGTCATACAAGTAGTCTTTAACTTGACATGATTAGCGCTGTTCATCCTGGGCAAGCCACATTCACAACCAGCAAGTTTTGTCGTGGTTGTTACTGGCTCAATTTGTATCGTAGTCTTTATACCTCATCAGAAGAGCTAAGTAACACAAGCGGAAACTCCCCTTCATTACTGGTTCAAGCTAAGGCTCCCATCTTTCAACCAGAACAGTTAAGCAGTTGCACATGTTCCATTATGCTGACTCTTACAGAACAACTGGGAAACACCTTAGGGCTGCAGGCTTATCAAAGCTTATGTACCTGTCCCCAAAGTCTTTCAGTCTTTTCAAGAACAGATTCAAAAGGAGAAAGAATACGTGAAAAGGAGGTGCTCACAAAATTGCAAAAGTTGGCCAATTCACAAAAAACATGCAAGGTAACTTCCTGTGTCTTTGTTTTCTTTTGTAATTTGAAGCTCACGTGAAACCCTATGTATTTTCAGGCAAGTGAGCTAAACTTGAATGTGACCTCTTCACTGTTTTCGCTGTTGGAAACTGAATGGGCACGGGGTATACCACTCTACTACACAATTATTCTCTGCTCTGGATTACAGAATTCACCTTATCTGATAGTGTACCGGTGTCATTCTTTTTCACTGTCATCACTGGTCAAGAATGTTTTTAAAAATCAATAGAGTAAGCTAAAAAAGGTCTACCCACCCAGCTGTTTTCTGCCAGTTGCCCTTCTGAGCCATGCCACCCACATTTATGGTTTCAAGTCCCTCAGCAAAAAGACAGCTGAAGCTACTTTGTGCTGAATTTTACATCAACCTAACTTCCTGTTCCTAAAACCATCCAACTCAGCAGATCCTGGACAAAATGTAACAATCAGTCTCTTGCAGATTTCTTTACTGCATTGATTTTTAGGAGTCTTAAGTCTTCCCAGAACATAAATTTACCTTAATGAAACAAAAACGTATATATTTTTCAAACTGCCTTTTTGTCTCAGGACCACAGAATGCTGAAAGAGGAATTGCTGACAGCTTCTGAAACAAAAACCACAAATATTATTTGCTTATTTTATATATAACAAATCTGTTTTAGGCATGATAATTTTACTATTCCACTTCTAGAACTCTCCCTTCCAACATGTGAGGGAAAGACAAAGTTCAGTTTTGTATGTACTAGCTAGGCTTAACTAAATTCAAATTACTTTTCTTAGGCAAAACACTTCAAAGGTACTTTTGTACAACTAGCATTTAAGCATGCTGAAAGAAAAGTGCTGGGACGTAACACAAACCCACAGGGTACATTTCAGCATATTTAGCAGTATTTTAGCCACAACATTATCAGCAGTTACTACAAATACCAAATAATATTTTGAATGGAATATCTCTACTACGTTATTTACTAAGTACGGTTGCATTGCTCTTGCTTTCAATAGAAAAGCATTTCTAAAACTGGAGTATGACTGAGACACCTTACCTTAGATGTTACCATCCATTTGACAAATTTATAATCATAAGGTTGTTTCTCATCTACATCAGAGAGATCCACATCTAAAAAAATTAGATTTAAAACAAACATGTAAGATTTTCCAGACTCCATTGGGAAGGTATTCATTAATGGCACTTTATTACAGTTAAGAATAAAAATGTATGCTTTCATTTTCAAATATAAGTAAAAAATTATACTATAATAATTAAAATAGGCCAACAGACTGAACCTTTCAGTTCTGACCTGACCACTTGCTTTCCATTCAAAGCAAATTCAGACACGTAGCTTGGAAGACAGACATGCAGTACTCCAAGAAGTCCTGAAGTCTGGGTGATTGAGGAATCAGAGCTGTGGAAGGCACTGAAGAGTGTATTTATTGCATAGACAGCAATAATCACTGCAACTGCAGTTTTCTCATCTGTGAAACTGGGGTATCTGAAACTTTCTGACACATGGTAGCACTGCGAGGTCCAGCTGTGTTTAAACATTTCGATGTGAATGGCAAGTGCCATTAGGACTAGTTAGTGAAAAATGTGGAACTAGAAAATGTTCTCCTGTGGGAATTCTTCCTCCAAAGTTACCATAACCTGAATTTCCACAAGGTTTTATAAATTTTGGTAGCATTTTACAGTGTTTAGAAATCAGAATGCCTCAAAGCGCCTTCAGGGTATGACTTCAGATTAAGAAAAACAAACAAACAAAACAGAAAGGGGAAAGTACAAAATGTACAAACTCAGGATACTGAGCCAGGTGCTTGGCTCTTGAACTTTTTCATAATCACAGGTCTTTTCAAAATAGAAATTTTTATTCACCTCCTTTATCCTCCCTAAAACCTTGCCAAAGCTTTGCAAAGCACGGACAGTAGTTCGGATCACAAACAAAGGCTCTGCTGAAGCTTATAAAATATACCTCCCAGGCTAAGGTCCAACAGCAAATTTCAGTCCCAGTCAGTACTTCTGACAACGTTATGCAAACGTGAAATGAGAATATAGTTTAAAATGAAAGTTGCATTTTCAGATTAACTATAATATTTGCTTTCCACACCCTTTTTAATAAACTTTATACTAACTTAATGTAGAAACATCAACAATCATAAAGTATCCTCCATCTGGAATGACAGGCTTTAGTCCAGCTTCTTGAAGTAGCTGAGCCATCCGATCACGCTTGCTTTCCAGCTCTCGAGACAGCGAGTAAAAATAGCAGTCTGGGTTATCCATGCGTTTATAGTCTATCCAAAATGCTTGTGCCAAGGCCTCCTGGAAACATAATAAATGTTTAAAGTACTCATGGACACTCAGTAAACTCACAGACACTCACACTTCCTACTGAAATCACGTGGATTTTTCTTCGATTCTGGCCCTTGTTAAGCAAATCTGCACATACAGATTACACAAACTACATCCAGGTGTGTAATCTGTTTGTTACTTTGTGCTGTGGCAACACCCAAAGCACCCAATCATTTGCTAGGCACTAATCAGATACAGAAGTCACAGTCCTTCACATAACGGTTTACAATCTAAACTGAAGCTAAGTTTAAATTATTGATAATAATGTATCATAGAATACTAGAAACTAGTAGACAGAGATAATGCTCAGTAAAACAAGACCTTACTGCACGAACTTTTATTTGTATTTGCTAGGAAGCCAATAAGATTGTTATGTTTTAATGCAAGAAGCAGCAGTTTGTAGGTGAAAGAAGAAAGAATCTACAAAACTGTTTTTTAAATGTCTGGTGAGCTGATCAAATTTGTCTCCTCTTCTTGCACCCCAGAATATATATTTTGATAACTAAAAATTCATTGTTGTGATTATTGTTTTATTACAGCGAGGCCTACAGTTTTCCTACACCAGAAAATAACCTCCTCTGCCCCATCTGTACCTACCTGTAATGGAGTTGGGCAAGTATACAGTGTATTTTGGTGAACAACTTGCAAATGCTTAATCAGGTTCTGGGGGCCAATAGACCAACCAAGCTAAGGGAAGAAAGCATGCATATGTTATACTTACAGCAGTGGTGGTACTAAAAATTAACTAAGAATTAAAATTAGCCAATGTATTAAGTTTTTCTGTTTTTAGAATTGGCAGTGAATTTGTTTTGATAAAGAATTAAGAAAAGAGCTGGTTTACACAAAGTTTGCTGAACAATGCTATTAAAAAATTCTAGATTTGAGAAAACAGGTACAGTTTCAATTATGTCTATCTCTCGTAGGGTATTGAGCAAACTTTTAATTCTTCATATAACAAGGGTTAGAAATCAAACTGAGCATTTATTAGGAACGTTATTCCATTTGTTTTAGAATCTTTCCATCTCATAAGCTCCTGTGTCAAAGGTGGTTTGAGCATAAAACAAAAGCTGACTGCTGAATCATATATGTCATGGTTCTGTTTGAACACAGGTGATGAAGAAGAAAGAATTTAGTTGCCAAATGGTTAAATATTTTTGTTTACTTTCTGATACATACTTTAAAGTCAAGCAAAATATTATTATTAAATATTTTACAGAAATATAAACCATTCCAAAACATACCATTATCAGAATCTGAAAATATCACCACAAAACAGGAAAGTTAAAATAAGATAATATCCATGTCTTCTCCAAGAATCTTGACCGGTTTTGAACACATCATACTGTGTTTATTTTTTTAGTATTGTTTTCTCTCAAGAGTATATTAATGGAGAGACAAGAAGAGAAATCATACATGGGTGTTCAAGATACGTAATTGCTCCAACTGAATGCTATCTTCATGTTTTGGAGACACAGAGATTTGCCAGAAGCTTTCAAAAGACAGGTCATCAAAACAGAGAATTTTTTAGTCTAATAAATGCATTCTGTTACTTGTATAACTGAACTCTTTAATATTGATTCTTCTTACCTTCCAGCCAGTTACACTGTATGTTTTTCCAGCACTTCCTATAGTTATTGTTCTTTCCCACATACCTGGCAACATAGCTGTATATAAAATAAAATTAATTGGGTACAGGTGCACTCACATATTCCACGTAGTTAGAAAAACTGTACTGCCCCTAGCTCAGAGCTATGCATTGATACCTCACTGCAGCATATTAAGCAAGCAATTAGAATATTCTAAAATTATAGCAATTGCAACAAATGTGAAAGGATATATGGGCCAATGCTTTTTGGCATGAAAAGAAGGTAGGGATTAATTAAAGGAGAAAGAAGAGGCAGAAATGAGAGGCACAGTTTGTGAAAACTATATGTTAGTTATCCTCAGACAAAATGCTTAATTATTCATAAGAAAGATATGATCTAAGAAGCGACTACCCATTCATCTCAAGACAGCATTATTTCTGATGGCTGATAGTAGCACCATACACAACATTAACGCAGGCACTGCAAGCCATTTTAATAGAATTGTCCAGTTCAATGTCCATATGTCTCAGACATCAGAAAAAGAAAAGAATTACTAAAACTTCTAACCTGGAACCAAACACCATAAGAATCGGAAAACCAACGGAGTACAGAAATTATGTTTTGTTATATAATTTGAACAGGCCTGGGACTGACTGACAATAGCAGCTAGCTAAGGATGTCTGCAAAGATTCAGAGACGCATGGAGGCCTATCTCTGTCTCTGTGTTTGTATCTGGTAGGAGACCAAAATCCTTTGTTTCCTTTCCAAGGAGATGACAGAGCAAAGGTCTCTTCCTGTAGTTTGCAAATTTTTTCTGTACACTGCTTAAGAGGAGCTCTGTTTGGACTCTTTAACTTCATACATTTTCAACAGAAATAGATAAATCAAGACATATAGTTCATACCAATGAATCTGTCAATTGTTAAGTCCCCTCTCTAGGGAGACCAACGAACAAAAATTTTCCAAATAAAGCCACTCAATTTCATAAAGAGGTTTTTGCAGCAGTTATCTGCATTAGACATGGTATAAGTCTTTGCAGTTACTTGAAAACACATGTTCTATTTTTTTGAGCACACTTGCCAAGAACAGAAACCAAACAGCAGGAAAGAAACTCCTATTTCTGTTGGCCCACCCATATTCACCAAACTGCTCTGTGACCTTGAAAACAAATAGGCAGTTTGAACAGATGCATCTTCTAGCCAGCTAGGTCAAGAGTATACATCACTTCCTACTGGCAACCAAGCTAACTCTCACAGACTGCAAAAAGAATTGAATTTCAAGGCTAATGCCCTCTAGTGAGACTGTTTTGCCACATAGTCATAGGAATTCAACCTTGGAGATGGAATGTAACAGCATTTCAAACAATAGCAGCAGCAAAAGGGCACAGGGGAAGAAGTGGCTCCATTGCTTTTACAAGCAACAACTTTTAAATAGAGAGGGAAATCTCTCTGTGCCATATGGCAACATCATTACATGACACCATAACCAAGTCTGACTACAATTTAAAAACTAGCAAAGCGCAAACTAACACATATAATAAGCCTGTTACCAGGGACAGCACACAGCTTGTTGAGAGGCTTGTTCAGTTTTGAGATGCAATCTCTAAATCTGCCAGCGCAACCCTAATCATTACTCAGAGGAGGCCCACGGTTTTATGGAAACGAGATAACGATGAGAAACATGATGAAGTGCTCTACACTACAGAAAACTGCTTCAGTGTTCGCACAAAGACCGTACTAATTTTCTGATCCGTGGCTAGCAACCCCTGTTAAATTGTATTATGGAAACACCATCAGACTCTGTAAATTAATGCAATATCCCTTTTGCATCTCTTACAAAAGGTGTCACTGCATTTGATGGAGTATGTAGAGGTTAATATGGAAATACAAGAGTTTTTAAATAGTGAAATAACACACTTTTTTTTTTGTAATATCTTTTGTAGACTTAAAAAAAAAATCTAAGAAACTGAAGTTAAAAACAGCAGATCTTGTTTCTTTTGCTGAAATAATGTTATAGTTCACAGTGTTACCCTGAAGGTTTTATAGTCATTTTAACACTAAAGTTAAAGATGATATCATGCGACCTGTTAGAGAGTATATACCCAAACCTAGCTGGCTAAATGTCCCGGCTTTAACTTGCACTATCATTACACATTATTTCTACATTTTATACTAAACTACAGAATGCCTTTTGTTCCACTGCAAATGTTTTGGTTTGAAGCATTAAAATGACAATACTGATACTAACAAACAATAGAGTTACTGTGCCTTAAGAATTCACCACCTGTTCACTAAAACAAAGTGTAACTGACAACACAAGTGTTTGGACCTGCTGCCATTGCAAAGGCAGCCTACACCACCCACAGAGATTTTGGTTCCGAGGACAGCTATTTGCACGAACCACCTGCTAAGCCCATGAAGAAAGCTTTAATTTAACTCATTTTACTTTGCAATTGGGACAGACAAGCTACACATGATCAGCTGATGTGGTAACTTGTTACAATGTACTGACTCAGATTACTATCACATGAATGCACCCAAGATATTCCCCTTCTTCCATGTCTGAAGGTCTTTGAGAAGCTATCGTTATGAAGGCACCACAACAGCCATGAAATCAGGCCACTTTCAAAACAGACTCATAGCCTATGCATGGCCAATACAATCCACATACTGCAGCTGTATGATCAGCAACTGTGTACCTGAGCTAGTAAGTACTGGAAGGACATTTAATTTCCTTTTTATTATTTATAAGATTTAGGTTTTAAAATTATGTAGACCCCACTAATGGAAAGTTTCTTTTATTGCCACTCTACATCCATAGAATCAAAGCATAGAAGCAAAGTTTTCAGCATTTAACCAGTGGTAAAGCCAGGGGAAAAGCTAAGCTTTTTCATGTCTAAGTTATGTCTCTTGATCTCATTGTTTATCTCAACTAGATGTGTCTATTGCACACGAATGAAATGTGCCTTCATTTTTACAGTAAGTACATCCTAACAGACAGTTCATGCAAGATGCTACCATCAGAAACAAAACATCCGCACATATAAGAAGGAAGTTTTGGACATTAGCCACTCAAATACATCAGCAAAGCCAAACCAAGATCACCACACTAGAAACTTTTACATAAATGCTTAACTGTAGCATTATAGGACTTCAGAAGGAGTTCAGATACCTGTACTAGATTCACTTGTTCTGAGACAGTAGGACTGATTCCACTAACTTCAGTGAAACTTCAATCAAGAAGTAAAACAAGAGGGACAGGGACATAACACTGTATTTGGTTTTCTTGTTTGTTCTTGCAATAGTGCTTTACCCCTGCAGCAATACTGCCTGAAGACTTCAGCATGCTTTCACGCTGCCCATGCAGCACCTTACTTCACTGAATTCAATGCCCATTATTTAACAGTCTCTGCACTCTCAAGGGACAGTGTTCATGTACTATCTCCGGACTAACCTTTATACTTTTGCTTTTTGTAAGCAGTGGAGCAAAAATAATTGTGTTCCTCATTATGCATTTCCCTCACTGATTATCTCTACAATGCTTTAGAAGGAAGTTTTAATCACTGTTCCTTCTATTAGTTCTTCAGCAAAGCACATTCCAATATACATACACAAACAGCAATTGTACTTGTCATGGCCAACAAAGTAACTGAATAAGGATGGGATTTTCAGATGATCATAACTCATTTATGAGCATCAATCCCACTAGTTTCTACGGCTATCTGCTCCAAAGTCACTTAAGAGCTTTGGAAATTCTATTTGGAATCATTCTTTAAACTTATTTTCAGAAAAGGGAGGTGCTCTCCTCCTTAGAGTTCAAACATTGTAAAATAGTCAAAGCTTGAAGTCTGAGCTCCTTCCAGCAACCACTGTCTCCAAAAAGCACATTTACAATGTCATTCCACAACCACTTCTAAGATGCCACAAAAAATCAGTACCTATTTTAATGTGTTTATTTCCTTTATACACCAGCCATTCATACACCTCATCGCTGATGCACAGGGTATCATGTTTAACACAGAGATCAGCTATTACTTGGAGTTCTTCTTTCGTAAACACCTGGGACACAACAAAGTAAGGGACAATGCATTAATCATAGTATTTAAGGTATACTTTGAAATTACAGTAGTGTTAAAGCAGAACTCTTACCTTGCCTATAGGGTTGTGCGGGGTATTCAGAATAATTGCTTTTGTTTTGGAATTAAATTTATTTGAAAAAAAACAGCAGGATCTAAGACCCAATCAGCACTAGATGCAGAGTTTCCATCGTTTTTCTAAAAAAAAAAAAAATTATAAAAAAAATTTATGCATTATTTGAATCTAACACATTACAGCCTAAACAGAGATGCCTAACATCACCTCAGACACTTTCATAACCATACTTGAAAACCTGTCCAATCTGTCCTGCTCTCCTGGGAGAAGGCACTTCTAGGAACAGGCAGGGAGGCTAAGAGCAAGGTAAATTATTATGACAGTGGCTGTCCTCTCCTGGCCACTGCATGTCTTAAAGCCTCCCCAGGAACTGGTTGCCAGGATCTGGTCGCACACATGCTGATTGTAAAAATGTGTAATGCAGGAAGCCCAGTCACATGGCAGGAGAGTTTATGGCCTTCTCGGACACTAGAACAAGCGTGTGCATGCTTGGCTGGAAAGACTGATCACCAATGGAAAGATTCAAGGTCTTTTCCTCTTCCTTGTCCATATGAAAATGGCCAAAGAGTTAAAAATCTGCACCACCAAGGCTCTGGAGTTGCTGTGGTATTACACAAGGACAATAGACGTTTGGGCCAGTTGCTAGAGAGAACAAAGAGCACAGCCACGCTAACTTTCTGACACCTACACATTACAGAGCGCAGGCCAGACCAAGGACAAGGGCATGAAACAGAAAATAACTGGAGGAACCTCATCATTCAAAACGTCCCTACAAGGAGGGCATCCAGAGGAACAGTCTCATAGAATCGCAGAATTATAGAATCATAGGTTGGAAAAGACCTTTTAAGATCACAAAGTCCAACCATCAACCCAACACCAACATGACTACTAAACCATATCCCGAAGTGCCACATCTACACGGTTTTTGAACACCTCCAGGGATGGGGACTCCACC